TGGTATGTTTACTGCATTGTCTATCAGCACACTAAACAGATTCATGCGTCTTTTTTTTTAACAGGCAGGAGGGTCAGGTTGAGGCCATATTTAGGACAGATATTCCCAGTTAGGTAAAAGAAAGTTCCCTCTTCATGGCCAAAGTGTTCTTTACTACAGAATCTGATTTCAACACAAATATACAGCACAACCTACTGCTTCATGGTATTTTAGCTAAATTTAAATAAAGCCTTGAGATGGTTACCAGATGTGGTCTTAACACATGTTTAAGTGCTTGGTTTGGACTTATAGGATAACAGTGGCCACGTATTTCTCCATTCAGCGTCTGGTGGAAAATATTATACTGGACACCACATGTATGATTCCCAACAGAAGTGTTTCAGGTGTAGTAAAATACAAAACTTCAAAAAACATTTATAGACATGTTAAAACTACCATTCTTAGAGTCTCTTTTAATTTACAGTAAATGTGTTTGGGACCATTTGTATAATTGACTGACAATTTGTTCAGAAGTGATTTAACAAATTAGTTGAGAAAGTGAAAACGATAGCTGTTTTATCATATATTAATTGTTCAAGCATAAATGACAAACTATCTTCAGCTTTGTCTTTGAAACTGTCAGAATTTGCAACTTTTATTTTATAAAAACTCTCTCCTATTTATTTGATTTGACCGCAGATCTGGTGCGTTGTCTTTTGCGCACTCTTAGCTGAGGAAAACAGCCGGAGGGAAGTCTCACTGCAAACCCCTTTGTGCAGGCAGCCTGGATTGTTATCTCCAGTCCTCACTGAGTTGGAGGCTCTGTGAGCAGTAAGATGCACAATTCTCAAGCTTTACTGGGCTTTAGGATTTAACTGGGATGGAAATGGTTATTGTGTGGCTGTGTGTCAGCTCGCAGGGCCTGTGGGTGGGGTAGTCAGTGAACAAACTGGCGAGAGTTTAACAACCCCAGCCCCCTCTGTGTGTGTAGTAATAAACTCTTACCTTGACTTGGAAGGCTGCACTGCTAGTATCCTTGCTGTGTTTTTGTAACCCTCACTAAAAAGGCCTTGCTCTTAATTGTGTCCCACAGGGCCCCACGGTCTCTGTATTCACAGCCTTTCCTGTCCCTCATGTTGATCCTCCCCCTCTCCCACCCTTAGCCCCATCATCCAAATTCGACAAGTCTTTCTTCTTTAATCATTCGACTTCAAAGTGGTGTCGTGGTGCCCCTTCCTCTGAGAAGCTGTCTTTGGGGGCCTGGGACACAGGGTGAAAGTGTGGTGGTGTATGAGGTGGTTAGTCAAGTTAGACTGGCATGATTTAAAGAAAATAATTAGTTCAGCTGCTGTTGTTCGTCACTAGAGAGAAGTTGGTGTTGTGTAATTATTGGAGCAGGTTGCAGATGTTCAAAGGATCTGTGTGGCACACTTCTCACTGCTCTTTGATGAAGACATATTTGTAGAGGTGAGAGATAAAGGCTGTTGCCTGAAAAACCTGCTACAAAGAGGAGAGGCCTGGCTAACGTTTGTCTCTGACCTACAAAAGAGGTGGACACTGTGTCAGCTTTTATCAGCTTTCAGCACATTTCCATGGTCTGCATTCTTACCGGGTTTCCATTTAGTTCAAAGCAATTGAGACCAACAAAATAAAAGATAATGAGTTTAATCTGCATCTTTTAGCTGGAATAATTGTGTACTCCATATTAGTGAATACACTCTTGCCTGTGTAATTCTGGGAGCACTTACTGTAGTATGGAGAACAAAGAAAACAGTAGGTTAGCTGTGGCCACAGAGGGAAGAGTGAATGATGAGCTGTGCAATGTCCTCTGATCAGAGTGGGGATTGTACCGTGATAGTTTGTCTTTATTTCTGGTGGTTGACTCGTACATTAGATCGATAAATCCACATGTGGTGAGTCGATAAATCTGCATCAGCATTGCCTTCATTAAAGCAGATGATCCTGAAATATATGGATCCTGGCAATTGCCCTCTTTCTCATTTCTATAATAATACTGCATGATGTATATGAACTCCTTCGCAATTTAGCTGAAGATGACTAGAGACAGCCGACTCCAGAGCTGTGGAGGTTTCCTTTTATTAAATGTGTTGATAAAGGTTTGATTCAGTACATACAGTACGAAGCCCCATAGGTCATTATCCCTGAATTTGCAGCTGCCTCTGCAGCGCTGAGGTTTGCTTTTGTCAACACTTGTGAGAAATGGAGGCCGAAGCCAGCTGCATGGTGTAGATGGAATAAGTGTCACTTCCTCCATTGTTTTCCTGTCCCTCCTCCCTCCCAGAGGAAGTGTCACTCATCAGATTCTGCTGTTCTCTGACCTTTAACATTATAGTCAAGTTTGCCCACCTGACTGGCAGGATACGTTAACTTATGGAGACACACCTTGCTAAAGGCAGTGTGAAATGGTTACGCTTTTGCAAAAATACAACCAAGGTCAGGATGGTGGGAGGGGTTTTTACACACAGTTTCACAAATCAACAAGTACTTCATTTTAGGCATACTGACTCCTTGATAGAAAACAGGAGAGATGATAGAAAAGAACTACTTTGTATAATGTGATATTCAAAAAAGGTCAGAAGGCAAACAAGTTTATAGCAATTTATAGCATTCAAAGACGGGGTGAAAAGCCAGGCGTCATTGAAAGGCAAGGCAGTGAAAACATTCCAGTATGAGAAAAGGCAACATTTTCAGATTGTCTGCTCTGGAAGGCTACTACACACTAGTCTGTTAACACAAAAAATGACAAATACTTGTGTAAAGAATGAAACAGAGAGCTTGAGAGAGGAGTTTAAACCCTGCATACTTTTTAATGGCTGTGCAGCTGGACAATAACTGTCAAGTGGACATGAATGTTGCATTACTATTTTCAAAAGCAACAGAAATTCCTGTGTAGGCAAGGTGACGGGAAGTGGGT